TAAAACATAATAAAAAGTATATTTCAAAATACTATATACAGCTACGTAAAAAGCAAACAATTATAAAAAAAACAAACAAAAATTGTGATATATTGCAGATGTCTAAAATTCTTTTTATTTAATTTGCACTCATAAATTCTATAAAAGAATTATTAGCTGACGATAAATTTCTTACAGCTTATGAAATTCTATGACAAATGTTTAATCGTCAGAAACACTTGGCCAGCCATAAAACCCACTGTGACGCACGCATAATCGTTATTGTTATCTGATTTTGTTGCGTGTCGTTGGTTATTGTTATGTAAGATTACGTTGTTGTTAAGTTACCGTTGTTACCTCTGAAACCCGCACCGAGAAGTTGCCTGTTACTAATGCCCAGCTCATTCCCAGCTTGTTCCCAGTTTTTGTTTATGAAGGATTTGTCGTAGAAGCTGTTTTGTTACTGTTGAATCGGCACCAAAAGCAAGCATAATTCGCTCTTTACTTCATCGAATTAAGATTAAAGAATTAAGGTTTCAATCGGCGAAATACAAATCGATTGTCAGTTTGATGAGAATGGTCAAAGTAACATGCGCTGCGCATGAAACATTCATTGAACTTTGATACGTATTATTCCAGCAGAGGATTACGTTACTAATCGCTAATGTAATTTTAATTTACAAACTGCTTAACGATTATCTTCGCTCGATTTGCGAAACTTATTTTTATTTTTCGGTTTCACCGTAGTGCCTTAATTTATTGATTTTGATATATGTATGCGTTTACGTACTTTATACAATTATAAACAATACGGTAAAGACTTAGTTTTAACAGCTAAGAATGTGTCTTAATTTTCGTGAAACAAATATACTAATGTTCTATTTTACGACATACGTATATAATATGTATGAGTAAATTTAATATGTATGAGAGTACATTAAATAAACACTGTATATAATATATAAAATGTTTTTAATCGTTTTTTGGAAGATATTATTATTATTTACCTTTTAGAATAAGTATTCTCATTGTAATTATTAATTGTAATTAATATAATATATATATTATCATCATTGATTTTCTTGCAGACAAAACATATGTTTTCTTCACCAACATGTAATAATTCAAATAATTGAAAAAATATCACGGCATTATGTAACGTATGATTACTATATGACTTGTATTGCAGGACCGTGTGTAATAAGTGTTTTTATTACAATCCGTTTCAGAACACATTATTGTAGCGTTATTTTACTAGTAATATCTAATCTGAAAATGTACGACAAAAGATAACATATGTAACAAATGTTTTATTTCATATGTCACAGAATAATGCGAATTATTCGAATATGAATAATATATAATTTCACAAATTTTACAATTGCTATATTTTTCGAGCAAATAAAACATTTTTTTATAGATATAAGAAACATAAAAATTACATAATTACAAAAAAAACATTAAATGCAATAAAATACTCTTCTAATTAAATCGGTTGAATAAAGGCCCACAGACCGCCAACTGGCGCGTTCAAGAACGCTGAGGACGTCAGTTTCAAGGGTACTTGTGTCTTTGGAGAAAGCTCCAGGCTGTACTTTCTCAATAACGTAGCTAAACACGCTTTCATTTCCAGTTGAGCCATTCTCATTCCCGGACAGATTCGCGGTCCTTCGCCGAAGGGAAGAAAAGCAAATTTCTCGATGCTGTGCTTACTGTCCGGACTGAATCGATCGGGATCGTATACTTCGGGATTCTCCCAGTATCGATCGTCCTCTTGCAGACCGTGAACGGGTATCAAGATTGGCGTTCCACGTTGCACGCGACAAACAAGTCCGTCGGATCCTTTCAGCTCGAACTCTTCCGTGCAATTCCTGCTCTGGAATCCTAGCGTGGGTATGATTCTCTGCGACTCGCTGATGACCTGGTCCATGTATGTCATTTCTTTCAAGCCTTCGTAAGTGATCACTCCGTCGTGTCTGGCGAAAACGGACAGTACTTCCTCGCGTAATTTTTTTGGACTTCCGGATGACTGGCTAATTGAAAGCCGACAAAACTCAAAACGGTGCTGGAGGTTTCGTAACCATCGATAAAGAACGACACTGCGTGAGACGTGAGAAGGTCCAAATCAAACTTGTTCCCTTCGATGCGCTCCAGCTCGGCCATCAATTGAAGAAAATCATTTCTATGTACGCCGTCTGTCCTTCGTTGTTCGAAAATCTCCGTGACCAAAGATTTGAAGAAATGGTCGGCCTTTTTCGGTAAAAACCTTGCTTTGAAAATTTTGCCCAATGAAGGTAAAAAAAATACAATGTTGAAAATTATGTTGTTTAAAAGAGACGGATTGATGAAGGCTTTGCCTAACGAATAAAAAGATTCACTTTGCCTCTCTTCATCGAAGCACAATCCGTCCACGCCGAAGGCGGCACCGGTTACCACTTGCGCGGTGAATTTGGAAAACAGATCCTTTAACTCGACCTCTAACTTTGCAACTTTGTTCACCTCTCTGTTCAAGTATTCCTCAAATGTCACGCACACCTGTTTGACGCTCTCGAGCAGCATTTTTAGTCGCATGCTGGAGAACGCGTAAGTTAGACGTTTCCTTCCAGTCGCCCACTTCTCGCCATATGTGAAAAAAGGATTGTTTGCCACCAAGGGATCTAAATCGGGATCGACTTTCAAGGTGTTCTCGTGAAAACTCGCAAAGTTCGTCTGCAGCACTGTCTTCACCAGCTGCGGTTCGAGGACCATTAGCGTTGGCATTGTAAAATTGTAGAATCCCACCATGCTGTAACCTTTGTACTTGTTGTAGATGTTACGACAGTTTTCGGAAAAGGTTGTCTTCATGGTGAAAAAATCCCACATGTTACCGATCCCGGGAAAGACATCTTCCGCAGACGGCACTCCACGTTTCTGCCAGTATTTGTAGTTTCTCGTTAAATAGAAATACAGGACTATAAGCGACGCGAAGATCAAGAATACGAGAGTGACAGCCATTACGTTTATCGTGGATGGTCGAATGATACTAAACGGACGGGCGCCAACCGTTGTCAATTGCAATTGCTTCTCTCACAAGTAACACGATATAACGATGAATGATAACGTCATCTATTAATCGAGCAAACTGCGCGATGAGAATGTAGCACGATGCACGAAACATCCCTTTAATCTCAGTATTATGTAATGTTTGTATTGCAATTTATATGACGCCATATCACGCGTCTAAAATGATTTATTGATTCCAAAAATTCTCTTAAAGATTACAAATTGAAGATAGAAAATTGTCGCTTTTGAAATAATATAATACTTAATACAATTTATTGCTTCTATTGCGAAAAAAGCTTCTTGACACTGAAATTATTATTAGTTTAGCATTGACATTGAAAATGTTTTGTGCATCGTTCTGTATAAGAGGACGTCCTGTATGAGAGAAATAGAAAGAAGCAATTGCTGACAATTATTCAATAAAAACTGACCCACGTTCCATGTACGTTAAATTATATGTGTCGACTTATAATCACACAAAATGCTTGTTTGCACAAGTTATTTTTAAATACGAATTAGAAAAAATCGTACTGCTTTTTGATTCATATACGTAACAAATTCTATAAAAATTTAAATCTAAATGTAAATTCTAATGATACATTTTGCTGTTATTATTATTGTTAAAAAATTACAATTTAATAGTGCGTTTTGTATCTTTCGTTAAATTTTGATCAGTTGAAGTTATTAGTTTGTCTGCCACAAACATAGATTATTGTAATCGTTACTTACAATCTTTATAAATGCATTTTATGTAAGATTTGTTATGTAAGATTACGTTGTTGTTAAGTTACCGTTGTTACCTCTGAAACCCGCACCGAGAAGTTGCCTGTTACCAATGCCCAGCTCATTTCTAGCTTGTTCCCAGTTTTTGTTTATAAAGAATTTGTCGTAGAAACTGTTTTGTTACTGTTGAATCGGCACCAAAAGCAAGCATAATTTGCTTTTTACTTCATCAAATTAAGATTAAAGAATTATGGTTTCAATCGGTGAAATACAAATCGATTGTCAGTTTGATGAGAATAATCAAAGTAACATGCGCTGCGCATGAAACATTCATTGAACTTTAATAGGTATTATTCCAACAGAGATTACGTTACTAATAACTAATGTAATTTTAATTTACAAACTGCTTAACGATTATCTTCGCTCGATTTGCAAAATTAATTTTTATTTCTTGGTTCCACCGTAATGCCTTAATTGATTGATTTTGATATATGTATGTATGCGTTTACGTACTTTAAACGATTATAAAACAATACGGTAAACACTTAGTTTTAACAGCTAAGAATGTGTCTTAATTTTCGTGAAACAAATATACTAATGTTCTATTTTACAACATACGTATATAATATGTATGAGTAAATTTAATATGTATGAGTACATTAAATAAACACTGTATATAATATATAAAATGTTTTTAATCGTTTTTTGGAAGATATTATTATTATTTACCTTTTAGAATAAGTATTCTCATTGTCATTATTAATTGTAATTAATACAATATATATATATTATTATTATTATTATTATTATTATTTATTTTCTCGCAGATAAAACATATATGTTTTCTTTTTTTACATGTAACAATTCAAATGGCATTGAAAAAATATCACGGCGTTATGTAACATATGACTATGTACTATATGACTTGTATTGCAGGAACATGCATAATAAGTGTTTTTATCACAATCCGTTTCAAAACACATTGTAGCGTTATTTTACCAGTAATATCTAATCTGATAATGTACGACAAAAGATAACATATGTAACAAATGTTTTATTTCATATGTTACAGAATAATGTGAGTTATTCGAATATGAAATAATTTATAATAATATATAATTTCTAATATAATGTTTAATATTATATTAGATATATATATATATATATATATATAAATTTTAATATAATATTTCTAATATAATATATAAAATATAGTAATATATAATTTCACAAATTTTACAATTGATACATTTTTGGAGCAAATAAAACATTTTTTTATAGATATAAAAAAACATAAAAAATACATGATTACAAAAAAAAATTAAATGCAATGAAATATTCTCCTAATTAAATCGGCTGAATAATGGCCCACAGACCACCGACTGCCGCGGACAAGAACGATGAGGCCGTCATTTTCAAGGGTACTTGTGTCTTTGGAGAAAGTTCCAGGCTGTACTTTCTCAATAACGTAGCTAAACACGCTTTCATTTGCAGTTGAGCCATTCTCATTCCCGGACAGATTCGCGGTCCTTCGCCGAAGGGAAGAAAAGCAAATTTCTCAATGCTGTGCTTACTGTCCGGACTGAATCGATCAGGATCGTATATTTCGGGATTCTTCCAGTATCGATCGTCCTCCTGCAGACCGTGAACGGGTATCAAGATTGGCGTTCCACGTTGCACGCGACAAACAAGTCCGTCCGATCCTTTCAGTTCAATATCCTCCGTGCATACTTTTGTAAGAAATCCTAGCGTGGGTATGATTCTCTGTGACTCGCTTATGACTTGGTCCATGTATGTCATTTCTTTCAAGCCTTCGTAAGTGATCACTCCGTCATGTCTGGCGAAAACGGACAGTACTTCCTCGCGTAATCTTTTTTGGACTTCCGGATGACTGGCTAATTGAAAGCCGACAAAACTCAAAACGTTGCTAGAGGTTTCGTAGCCATCGATGAAGAACGACACCGCGTGAGATGTGAGAACGCCCAAATCAAACTTGTCGCCTTCCATGCGCTCCAGCTCGGCCATCAATTGAAGAAAGTCATTTCTACGTACGCCGTCTGACCTTCGTTGTTCGAAAACCTCCGTGACCAAAGATCTGAAGAAATGGTCGGCCTTTTTCGGTAAGAATCTTGCTCTGAGAATTTTGCCCAATGAAGGCAAAAAGAATACAATGTTGAAAATTATGTTGTTTAAAAGAGACGGATCGAGGAAGGTTTTGCCTAACGAATAAAAAGATTCACTTTGCCTCTCTTCATCGAAGCACAATCCGTCCACGCCGAAGCCGGCACCAGATACCACTTGCGCGGTGAATTTGGAGAACAGATCCTTCAACTCAACCTCTTTCTTTGCGACTTTGTTCAGATTTCTGTTCAAGTAGTCCTCAAATGTCACGCACACCTGTTTGACGCTCTCGAGTAGCATTTTTAGTCGCATGCTGGAGAACGCGTAGGTTAGACGCTTCCTTCCAATCGCCCATTTCTCGCCATATGTGAAAAAAGGATTGTTTGCCAGCAAGGGATCTAAATCGGGATCGATTTTCAAGGTATTCTCGTGAAAACTCGCAAAGTTCGTCTGCAGCACCGTCTTCACCAGCTGCGGTTCGAGGACCATTAGCGTTGGCATTGTAAAATTGTAGAATCCCACCATGCTGTAACCTTTGTACTTGTTGTAGATGTTACGACAGTTTTCGGAAAAGGTTGTCTTCATGGTGAAAAAATCCCACATGTTACCGATCCCGGGAAAGACATCTTCTGGAGACGGCACTCCACGTTTCTGCCAGTACTTGTAGTTTCTCGTTAAATAGAAATACAGGACTATAAGCGACGCGAAGATCAAGAATACGAGAGTGACAGCCATTACGTTTATCGTGGATGGTCGAATGATACTGAACGGACGGGCGCCAACCGTTGTCAATTGCAATTGCTTCTCTCACAAGTAACACGATATAACGATGAATGATAACGTCATCTATTAATCGAGCAAACTGCGCGATGAGAATGTAGCACGACATACGAGAAATCACTCCAATCTCAGTATTATGTAATGTTTGTATTGCAATTTATGTGACGCTACATGATGCGTTTAAAATGATTTATTGATTCCAAAAATTCTCTTAAAGATTACAAATTGAAGATAGAAAATTGTCGCTTTTAAAATAATATAATATTTAATACAATTTATTGTTTCTATTGCAAAAAAGCTTCTTGACACTGAAATTATTAATTTAGCATTGACATTGAAAATATTTTGTGCATCGTCCTGTATAAGAGATAAAAAGAAACAATTGCTGAATTATTCAATAAAAAATTACCCACATTCTATGTACGTTAAATTATATGTGTCGACTCATAATCACACAAAACACTTGTCTAATTTATAATAAATTGACTAAAATTATATAGATTAAACTACGTAGTAAAAAAATTTTTTATAAATTTATACTACATGTTGTATCACTGCGGCATGTATGCACGATTAATTTTATTTACTCACATACAGACGGAAAGCAATGCTTACAGAATACAGAATAATCTCAACTCAAGTCAAGCCTAAGGTCACAATAAAGTCAAAGTAACAAAGTAAGAAAATAAGTGAGTATTGATTCCTTATATCATTTTTCAGATTGCAAAGTAAATCAAATATAAATAAAAAACAAATTTATATCCAGCATAATTTTCTAAAATAATCTTTTATGTCTACTATACAAATTTCTCTTAAATTAATATATTTATACATATATTTTATTTTTATATTAAAACATTAATGCGTGTTAAAAATTAGAAAAAAAATTTGTTTTAACATGCATTTTAACGTACAATTAATAAAAAAATTATCTAATATAATTTCTAATAAAGTTTGTTTAGCATTCGTTAGAAAATGTGGTATATATTATATCGCTAGTCTTCCTATCCCACTCTGTTATGTTATATAACGTCATTAATACTCGCGGCATTAATACAGCGATTCTGCTCTGTGCTGTCAGTTACGGCTAATACGCAGTAAAGGCTACATCAGCCGATTTGAACAAGAGTTATTCAAAAAGAGCAAAATGACTATCGTGCTGGTGTCTCTGATTCTCGGAGCGTTTGCAATTCTGTATTACTATCTGACGCACAACTACAAGTATTGGCAGAAACGTGGAATTCCGTGCGCGGACGGAATCTTGCCAGGAATTGGTCATATGCTGCCAGCAATCACTTTAAGAACAACTTTCCCCGAATTTCTTAGCAAGATGTACAATGACAATAAAAATTGTAGCATGGTTGGATTTTACAGTTTTACAAAACCGTCGTTAGTAGTCATCGAGCCGCAATTAGTGAAAACAGTGTTGCAAGCAAACTTTTCCAGCTTTAACCGAAACGTTTTTCAAGTCGATCCCGACTTGGATCCGCTCTTTGCGCTAAATCCTTTCAACTTGATCGGCGAAAAGTGGCAAGCCGCCAGGAAGCGTCTGACTTACGCGTTCTCTAGCATGAGGCTGAAGATCTTACTTGAAAGCGTCAAAACGGTGTGCGTGGTATTCGAAAATTATTTGGACAATAAACTGAAAGAAACCAGAAAGATAGAAGTGGAGCTGAAGGATCTATGCTCAAAATTCACCGCGCAGGTGGTGGCTGGCGCTGGTTTCGGCGTGGACGGATATTGCTTTAACGAGGAGAAAAAGGATCTGTCTTTTCAAAAAGTCGGTACGGCTATTCTACAGCCGAATTTACGGACCAAGATCGTAATGATGTTGACATTTATAGCCCCGTCGTTAAACAAAATATTGAGAGTAAAAGCTATACCAAAGCATATTGATAATTTTTTTCGCACCTTAGTCGCGGAACTTATAGAGCAGAGAAGAAAGGACGGGAAACCTAGAAACGATTTTCTTCATTTAATGACTGAATTGGAAAAGCAGGAAGGCACTAAATTTGACCTGGAGGTATTAACGGCTCACGCCATGTCGTTTTTCATAGATGGCTATGAGACTTCTAGTACAGTTATGAGCCTTGTTCTCTATCAATTGGCCGTCCATCAAGAAATTCAAAAAAAACTACGTGAAGAGGTAATGTCCGTGTTCGAAAAATACAATGGTGAAATCACATACGAAGGCTTGAAAGAGATGACTTATATGGATCAAGTTCTGTGCGAATCGCAAAGAATTATACCCACGGTAGGATTTCAGAGCAAGATGTGCACTGAAGAGTTCGAGCTGAAGGGATCCGACGGGCTTGTCTGTCGCGTACAGCCTACAACTGAAATTCAGATACCAGTTGACGGTTTACATCGCGATCCTAAATATTGGAACAACCCTGAGATATTTGATCCTGACAGATTCAGCCCGGAAAATAAACAAAGCATTGATCGATTTGCCTTTCTTCCTTTCGGCGAAGGTCCTCGTATCTGCCCGGGAATGCGGATGGCTCTGCTGCAAATAAAAGCTGGTCTGGCTGTATTATTAAGGAAATATAGTTTAGAACTTTCTCCCAAGACAAAACTGCCTTTGAAAATGATCCCCGGAGCCATTCTGGCATCCCCGGAAGGCGGTTTGTGGGTCAAAATCCAACAGCTTTAATTGCAAATATTTTTTTCTAAGCTATATCAGTCTCACAATTTTTAAACGTAAAGGATAAATTAGTAGCAAATTTTTGGGAGCTATACATATCAAATTTATTTTAGATTTAATTACATTTTTATTAGAGACGTTTTTATTAAATCCGATTACTTACATGTTTTTGAATTTAATTTAGACAATATAAAACTTGCAACAAAATTTGAGATTGATGTTTATTTGTAATATTAATTAAAAAACATTTAAAAAAGCAAAGTACATACATATAACATATACAGGGGTCAATGCAAAGGTTATTCTGTGATTGTTATTAATTCAGCATTGACATTGAAACTGTACATCATCGTAAAAGTCGGAACAAGTAGATGGAAGCGGCGCAATTGCTGGCGATTATTCAATAAAAAAGTGACTAACACTGTATACTACGTCAAGTTGCAAATAAGTGTATATAAAAAGTTATGATACATAATGTTTATCACAATATGTCATAAATTGATACAAGGTTATGCGTATGTTAAGCTACGTTTAATAATTTTTTAAAATACACATTATCAGAAAACTGATATTATTTTCATAAAAATAAAATGCATTAAAACAGTTTAAAAGCAGTTATGCTTTAGACCATAATATTTTATCAATTTAAACTTGATATCCTTTTATAAATATTAATTTATAAGCAATAGAAAACTCATAAATCTTTATAAAAATATAAAACTATTTTCTCGATTTACTTTAACATAGAAGAATGTTTTACTGTAACATAAATTTTAATTTTAGTATAATTTAAGATAAATTTAAAATTGAAAGAGATTTTATGCAAGGTATAAAATATAATGAATTTTAAATTACAAAATTTTTAAAACTTAAAGACATCGATATATTGCTGTTGTTGTTCTCACTTTAGTGATTCACTGCGTCCCATGCACAAACGACATTTTTTTTTATTGACACATCATAATAATAGCATGCAAAAATCTCAAGTCAAGACAAAGTAAGAGCTAAAGTTAATACAAGGTCATTCTACTTAGCGAAGAGTTAAGTGATGTTTCGATTCGTTACGTAATGCTCGGATAGCAAGTTGCAGCGCAAATTACACGTCTATAAATAAACTGCATATTCACATCCAGCATAATTTATATTACAATGTATATTAAGTTATTTAAAAGAAATGTTTTCAAATATACATCTTAACATATAATTATAAAAAAAATTTCTAATATAATTTATTCTTTCAATTAACTATTGCAACAAATTTTAGATGCATTATACAATTATAGAAATACATATGTCAGTTGATATCTTGTAATAAAGTTCACTTAGCACCCGTTAAAATGTATCGATACGAATTTCGTCATTATCACTACAAGCTCATTTGTGCACACTCATTAACGCTATGACGCTACCAATATTTGCATCGGCGACTGTCTGGCGATCAATCACGGTTGATACGCAGTCAAGGCTACATTAGTCTGCATAAATAAATGTTACTTGCTATTCGAAAGAAGCAAGATGAGCATCATACTGTTATCTCTGATTCTCGGAGCGTTCGTAGCTCTGTATTTCTACCTGATGCAAAACTTCAAGTATTGGCAGAAACGGAGTCCCGTGTCCGGATCCCGGGAAAGACATCTTCCGGAGACGGCACTCCACGTTTTTGCCAGTATTTGTAGTTCCTCGTTAAATAGAAATACAGGACTATAAGCGACGCGAGGATCAATAATACGAGAGTGACAGTTATTACGTTTATCGTGGATGGTCGAATGATACTGACTGAATGATACTGACTCGGGCGCCAACCGTTGTCAATTGCAATTGCATCTTTAAGAAGTAACACGATATAACGATGAATAATAACGTCATCCATTAACCGAGCAAACTGCGCGGTGAGAATGTAGCACGACGTACGAGAAATCACTCCGATCTCAGTATTATGTAATGTTTGTATTGCAATTTATGTGACGCTACATAATGCGTTTAAAATGATTTATTGATTTTAAAAATTTTCTTAAAGATTACAAATTAACGATAGAAAACTGTCGCTTTTAAAATAATATAATATATATATTTAATACAATTTATTGCTTTTATTTCAAAAAAGCTTCTTGACATTAAAATTATTAATTTAGCATTGACATTGAAAATATTTTGTGCATCGTTCTGTATAAGAGGTAGAAAAAAGCAATTGTTGAATTATTCAATAAAAAATCACCCACATCCTATATATGTACGTTAAATTATATGTGTCAACTTATAATCACACAAAACGCTTGTCTAATGTATAGTAAATTGACGTAAAATTATATAGCTTAAGCTACATAGTAAACAATTTTTTATAAATTTATGCTACATGCTGTATCACTGCGATATGTATGCTCGATTAATTTTTTTCACTGACATACAGACGGCAATGCTCACAGAATACAGAATAATCTCAACTCAAGTCAAGCCTAAGGTTACATCAAAGTCAAACAAAGTAAGAAAATAAGTGAGTATTGATTCTTTATATCATTAATCAAATTACAACGTAAATCAATTATATATAAATAAAGAACAAATTTATATCCAGCATAATTTTCTAAAATAATATTTTTTGTTGACTATACAAGTTTCTCTTAAATTAATATATTTATACATATATTTTATTTTTATATTAAAACATTAGTGCATATTAAAAATTAGAAAAAAAAATTTGTTTTAACATGCATTTTAAAGTACAATTAATAAAACAATTTTCTAATATAATTTCTAATAAAGCTTGTTTAGCACGTGTTAGAAAATGTGATATATATTATATCGGTAGTCTTCCTATCCCACTCTATTATGTTATCTAACGTTATTAATACTCGCGGCATTAATACAGCGATTCTGCTCTGTACTGTCAGTTACGGCTAATACAGTAAAGGCTACATCAGCCGATGTGGACAAGAGTTATTCAAAAAGAGCAAGATGACTATCGTGCTGGTGTCTCTGATTTTCGGAGCGTTTGCAGTTCTGTATTACTATCTGACGCAAAATTACAAGTATTGGCAGAAACGTGGAATTCCGTGCGCGGACGGGATCTTGCCAGGAATTGGTTATATGCTGCCAGCAATCACTTTAAGAACAACTTTCTGCGAGTTTCTTAGCAAGATATACAACGACAATAAAAACTGTAGCATGGTTGGATTTTACAATTTTACAAAACCGTCGTTAATAGTTACCGAGCCGCAATTAGTGAAAACAGTGTTGCAAACAAACTTTGCCAGCTTTAATCGAAACGTTTTTTAAGTCGATCCCGACTTGGATCCGCTCATAGCGATAAATCCTTTCAACTAGATCGGCGAAAAATGGCAAGCCGCCAGGAAGCGTCTGACTTACGCGTTCTTTAGCATGAGACTGAAGATTTTACTTGAAAGCGTGAAAACGGTGTGCGTGGTATTCGAAAATTATTTGGACAATAAACTGAGGGAAACCGGAAAGGTAGAAGTGGAGCTAAAAGATCTATGTTCAAAATTCACTGCGCAGGTGGTTGCTGGCGCTGGTTTAGGCGTGGACGGATATTGCTTTAACGAAAAGAAAAAAGATCTGTCTTTTCAAAAAATCGGTGCGCTTATTCTAGAGCCGAATTTACGGTCCAAGATTGTAATAATGTTGTCATTTGTAGCCCCGTCGTTAAAAAAAATATTTAAAGTCAGTGTTGTACCAAAGCATATTGATAATTTTTTTCGCACGTTAGTGGCGGAACTTATGGAGCAAAGAAGAAAGGACGGGAAACCTAGAAACGATTTTCTTCATTTAATGACTGAGTTGGAAAAGCAGAAAGGCACTAAATTTGACCTGGAGGTATTAACGGTCCAAGCTATGTCGTTTGTCATAGACGGCTATGAGACTTCTAGTACAGTTATGAGCCTTGTTCTCTATCAATTGGCCGTCCATCAAGAAATTCAGAAAAACCTACGTGAAGAGGTAATGTCCGTGTTCAAAAAATACAATGGTGAAATCACATACGAAAGCGATTGAAAGAGATGACTTATATGGATCAAGTTCTGAACGAATCGCAGAGAATTATACCCACGGCAGGATTTCAGAGCAAGATCTGCACTGAAGAGTTCGAGTTGAGAGGATCCGACGGGCTTGTCTGTCGCGTACAGCCCAAAACTGAAATTCAGATACCCGTTCACGGTTTACATCACGATCCTCGATATTGGAACAACCCTGAGATATTTGATCCTGACAGATTCAGCCCGGAAAATAAACAAAGCATTGATCGATTCGCCTTTCTTCCCTTCGGCGAAGGTCCTCGTATGTGCCCGGCAATGAGGATGGCTGTGTTGCAAATAAAAGCTGGTCTGGCTGCATTTTTGAGAAAATACAGCTTAGAACTTTCTCCTAAGACAAAAGTTCCTTTGGAAATAATTTCCGGTAGCATTCTAACATCTTTAAAAGGTGGTCTATGGGCCGTCATTAGAAAGCTTTGATTGCAAATATCTTTATCTGTTAAAAATCAGAGTCCAATTTTTTTTATTATTAAAAAATAAAATTTGTAATAAATTTTTATGCAGAAACAAAATTATTTTATATTTATTATTTGAAGCATGTAAATCGTTATTATATCAATACATTTTTTTTGCATTTAATCAGTTATTACATGTAATAATTAATTTCTTCAAGTCCTCAATAAAATACACACAACTTAATCGTTTGTATCTAAATATAAATGTAGTAGCATTTATAAAAAAGATGATAAATTCTCTTAATAAGCAAACTCATGCGTGAATTATAGTATAAGATATATTTGTGTGTGTTTAAAAGAAAAAAAAATTAACTAATAATTAATCTACAAATTTTTTTTGCTCATTATACACATATTAATTTTATAATTGAGATATTGTTATTTTAACTGTATTTTTTACAAATTTAAATTAATTAAAAAATATTATCATTTTAATTATCTTATTTTGTACAATATAGAAATGTTTGATATTATATTTTTTCGATTTGGTGCCACATTTCTAATCTCTTACTGCAATAATTTTTTTTTAATTATATGGAAATTGTAATTAAGTTTTGTAAAGTGAAATGTACAGGTAAAATTATGTGAAAATACAATTGTCTTAAAAATTATCTATTTTTACTAATGTATTTTTATATCTATAAAGTCCCACAGACTGTTAAATGGCGAATTCAAGAAGAATCAGGACGTCATTTTCAAAAGTATTTATGTCTTCGCAGAAAGTTTCAGGCTGTACTTTCTCAATAACGTAGCTAAACACGCTTTCATCTGTAGTTAAGCCATTCTCATTATCGGTCAGATTCGTGATCCCTTGTCGAAAGGAAGACAAGTTAATTTCTCGATACCATGCTTATTATCCTAGCTAAATCGCTCGAGATCGAATACTTCGAAATTCTTCTAGTACTAATTATCCTCCTGCAAACCGTGAATGAGTATCAAGTAAAATTTGATTATATGTTGCACGCAAAAAGCAAGTTCGTCAGATCCTTTCAGTTCGATGTTCTTCGTGCCTGTTTTTGTTAGAAATCCCAGCGTGAGTATGATTCTCTATGATTGTGGGAACACGTCAGGTGATTATAGGTCAGTTAATTATAATACACGTCATTTGGTAATAAAGTACACTTAACACCCGTTAGAAATTTTGATTTAAATTATATTGCTCTCCCTTCCCACTCGGTCATGCTATCTCATACTATCAGTATTTGCGTCCGTGATTCTGCTCTCTGCTGTTAGTTACGGCTAGTACGCAGTAAAGGCAGCACGAGCCTGTCTAAGCAAGAGTTATTCAAAAAGAGCAAGATGACTATCATGCTGGTGTCTCTGATTCTCGGAGCGTTCGCAGCTTTGTATTACTATCTGACGCAAAACTACAAGTATTGGCAGAAACGTGGAATTCCGTGCCCGGACGGGGCCTTGCCAGGAATTGGTCATATGCTGCCAGCAATCACTTTAAGAACAACTTTCTCTGAATTTCTTAGAAAAATGTACAATAACAATAAAAATTGTAGCATGGTGGGATTTTACAGTTTTACAAAACCGTCATTAATAGTTATCGAGCCGCAATTAGTAAAAACAGTGTTGCAAACAAACTTTGCCAGTTTTAACCGAAACGTTTTTCAAGTCGATCCTGACTTGGATCCGCTCGTAGCGCTAAATCCTTTTAACTTGTTCGACGAAAAGTGGCAAACCGCCAGGAAGCGTCTGACTTACGCGTTCTCTAGCATGAGGCTGAAGATTTTACTGGAGAGCGTCAAACCGGTGTGCGTGTTGTTCGAGAATTATTTGAATAATAAACTGAGTAAAACCGAAAAGGTAGAAGTAGAGCTGAAGGATTTATTTGCAAAATTCACCGCACAGGTGGTGGCTGGCGCTGGTTTCGGCGTAGACGGATATTGCTTTAACGAAGAGAAAAAGAATCTGTCTTTTCAAAAAATCGGTGAGGTTGTTCTAGAGCCGAGTTTACGGACCAAGATCGCGACCATGTTGCTATTTTTAGTCCCGTCGTTAAACAAAATATTCAAAATAAGTTTTGTGCCGAAGCATATTGATAATTTTTTTCGCACGTTAGTCGCGGAACTTATGGAGCAGAGAAGAAAGGACGGGAAACCTAGAAATGATTTTCTTCATTTAATGACTGAATTGGAAAAGCAGGAAGGCATTAAATTTGACGTGGAGCTACTAACCGCTCAAGCCTTCTCGTTTGTCGTAGATGGCTATGAGACTTCTAGTATAGTTATGAGCCTTGTTGGCTATCAATTAGCCGTCCATCAAGAAATTCAAGAAAAACTACGTAAAGAGGTAATGTCTGTGTTTAAAAAATACAATGATGAAATCACATACGAAGGCTTGAAAGAGATGACTTATATGGATCAAGTTCTGAACGAATCGCAGAGAATTATACCCACGGCAGGATTTCAGAGCAAGATCTGCACTGAAGAGTTTGAGTTGAGAGGATCCGACGGGCTTGTCTGTCGCGTACAGCCCAGCACTGAAATTCAGATACCCGTTCACGGTTTACAACATGATCCTCGATATTGGAACAATCCTGAGGTATTCGATCCTGAGAGATTCAACCCTGAAAATAAACAAAACATCGATCGATTCGTCTTTCTTCCTTTCGGCGAAGGTCCACGTATCTGCCCGGGAATGAGAATGGCTCTGCTGCAAATAAAAGCGGGTCTGGCTACATTATTGAGGAAATATAGTTTAGAACTTTCTCCCAAGACAAAACTGCCTTTGAAAATGATCCCCGGAGTTATTTTAGCATCCCCGGAAGGCGGTTTGTGGGTCAAAATCCGACAGCTTTAATTGCAAATATTTTTTTTAAGCTATATCAAGCTCACAATTTTTAAATTTGAAAGATAAATTAGTAGGAAATCTTTTTTAACTATACTGAAGTATAAAACTTCTAATTTGATTGATGAAATATATGTAACACATTTGTAGGAATAAAACTGTCTAGAAAATTGCCTACTTTTCACTGTTCTAATTTTATGCAAAATTACTATTACACATTATTTTACTAATAACTGCGAATATATTTCAGATACTGAAAATTGAACAATTTTTTAACCGTTGTAATTTGGCGAGAAATCATTGTAGACAAAAAATGAAGAAGCATTTTAAAGCTTGAAATTTATACTTTTATGCAGTATAAATCGTTTTCCAAAAACTTTTTATCTTTCCACGTCTACGCTCGAAAGAAGAATACGTAAGAATTTTTTTTAACTCTGTTTCACAATAAAAAATATTTTTCTCGCAAAATTTTTGACAAGTGTCAGAAAGTACAACATTTTACTACAAAATATAATGTAAAAATTTAAAACATATTGCAATAAATATCGATTTTGTAATTGCTGTAATTGTTCTTCGTACTGTTAGTATTACTGCAAAGTACGTAGATAAATTTTTTTATATATTTTTTTATGTATTATCAAATAATAATGATAAGAGCATGTACAACAATCTCAAGTCAAGGCATAATCACTTTACTTAGTAAAAAGTTAATCGATGTTTTGATTCTTTACGCGGTACATATAATAGATAACAAGTCGCAGCGCAAAATGCACGTTGTAAATAAAGTTCAAATTTACATCCAGCATAATTTATATTAATCTTTATATTAAATTATTTTAAAAAATTGTTTTAATACACAATTAATACATTTAATACATTTTAACATACAATAATAACAAAAATTTCTAATATAATATTGTTGCGCTTCCAGGCTTTTTCGCCGCCGATGCTGCGTTTAGTCAGCTGAGAGACCGATTGATAATATCGATCGGACGTTCAATAGTTCTGAAAACTGTTTCTTAACAGATGAGATATTGTAAATAATTTTTATAGTAATATTGTTTAGCCGCTGAGACGTCTGCATGACAGTTTGTAATCAAACTGTGAGATGTCAGATTTTCGGTCGGACAGCTGGCTGCTCAGGCGGATGTATACGACAGCTTTGATCTTTCAATCTGTTTCTCGGTTACTCGTTGTATTCGTTTGAGTTACTGTTATTATTAAAGTGTTTCTTTTACTCTAATAGAGTGTTCCTTTATTCCGCGAGTTCCGTTTGACGTGTTTGATACCTCGTTCCGTGGGAGCAACAATATATATTTTTAATCAGCTATTGCAACAAATTATCGTTACATCATGCAATTGTGGAAATATATCAGTTGATATTTTGTGACAATGTTCATTTAATACCCGTTAAAAAATTCACTGATACAAGTTTTATTGCTATCTCTCCGCTCCCACTCGCTCACACTAATTGACGCTATAACGCTATCAATATTTGCGTTGGTAACTTTCCAACATACAATTACGGTTGATATGCAGTCAAGGCTACATCAGTCTGTTTAAATCAGTGTTACTTACTACTCGAAACAAGCAAAATGTGCATCGTACTGATATCTCTGATTCTCGGAGCAGTTGTAGCTTTGTATTTATACCTGACGCAAAATTTCAAATACTGGCAAAAACGTGAAATTCCGTGCCCGGATGGAGCCTTGCCAGTGGTCAGTCATATGCTGTCGGCAGTTTGCTTGAGGACGACAGTCTCTTAGCATTTTGCCAAAATTTACAGAAACAATAAAAATCACAGTATGGTTGGATTCTACAATTTTTCGTCACCGTCGTTGATAGTCATCGAACCAGAATTAGTGAAAACGGCTGCAGACAAATTTTGCGAGCTTCAACAAAAATTCCTTTCAAGCCGATCCGAATTTGGATCCTCTTGTGACGCACAATCTCTTTTCTCTAACCCAGCGCTCGGAATTAGTTGCACATTTCGAGCCGATTTCCGAGACGACGCCTCCTGTTCCCCCACTACCGCCCGGCTGCTGGCGGCCGAGCCGCCGATAGCTCTGGCGCAGGAGCGTTTTATATAAGAAATAAGCTGGGTTTTGTTGAGGTACCTTTCAGAAAATAGTAATATTTTCTTTATTACATAAATAATGTTTATTTTCATTAATAATTAAATATATATATTATGTATTAATAAAAATAAACATTATTTATGTAATGAAGAAAATGTTACGATTTCCTGAAAGATGCCTAAACAATCCAGCCTATTTCTAATATAAAACGCTCCTGAGCCAGAGCTATCGGCGGCTCGGGCTCCAGCGGCCGGGCGGTAGTGGGGGAACAGGAGGCGTCGTCTCGGAAATCGGCCCGAAATGTGCAACTAATTCCGAGCGCTGCTCTAACCAGTGATAAATGACTAGCCGCCAGGAAACGTTTAACTTACGCGTTCTTCAGTATGCGATTGAAAATCCTGTTGGAGAACGTTAAACTGGTGTGCATGTTGCTCGAAAATTATCTGGACAGCAAAATAAGCAAAACTGGAAAGGTGGAGTTAGAGCTCAAGGATTTGTTTTCAAGGTTCACCGCGCTGGCGGTGGTTAACGCTGGTTTTGGTGTGGACAGATATTGCTTTGACGATGAGAAAAAGAACGTGTCTTTTCGAAAAATCGGCGCTGCTGTTGTTGAGCCAAATCTACGAATCAAAATTGTTTTTACCATATTATTTGTCGCCCCGGTGCTAAAAAAATTATTAAAATTAAGATTTATACCGAAGCACATCGATCACTTTTATCGCACTTTGGTTGCGGAACTTATAGAGCAAAGAAGAACGGACAAGATACCCAGAAATGATTTTCTTTACTTGATGGTTGAATTGGAAAAGTTAGAGGGTGATAAATTTGCTTAGAGATAGCGTCTCATACGTTGTCGTTTGTCGTGGATGGCTATGAGACTTCCAGTACAGTTATAAGTTTTGTCGTCTATCAATTAGCTACTCACTCAGAAGTACAGGAGAAATTACGCGAAGAGGTAGTATCGGTGCTCAACAAGTACATTGGTAAAATCACGTACAAAGGCTTGAAGGAAATAACTTACATGGATCAGATTCTGAATGAGACGCAGAGACTTACATCCGCAGCAGGATTTCTGACGAAAGTTTGCACGGAGGAGTTTGAGCTAAAAGGATCCGACGGACTCTTATGTCGCGTGCAGCTCGGAACTCAAATTCAGATTTGCTTAGATGGTTTGCATAATGATTCTCAATATTGGAGCAATTTTAAGATATTCGATACCGAGAGATTCACACCGGAAACACTCAAAAAAATATTTCGCTGATGTAGTTAGATTTCTAGATATCGCAACAAAAATGTATCGCTATTTTTCGTATCTGTGAAAACATTGTTTGTCACATATAGAATTTATAGCAGTAATGTTCTAGCAATAGCTTCTGAAAAATTTAGGTACCATTGCTAAATGTTATTCATTGCATGATTTAACACGTGATTGATCTTATATAGATAGGCGCTTTAGAGAAACTTTCTTTTTAAAGTTCACAAACAATACAGATATATATTCTGTTTCTGTCATCTAAACTGATTAAGTAATTACATATGCAATATCACAACAGTTGCTAATCATTTATCTGTTTTAGTTAATTTTTTACACCTAGAAAATTTTAGCTATTATTGCAAGATCATTTTTTTGAGTGTACCCTCTTTCTCACCAACCAATAGGTCTCCTTCGCCAGCCCCCCTCTTTAAATTCCGTCTCTACTCTCGCTTTTAGTCCGGTCCCTTCGATAGAGATCCTTGAGGAAATCATTCAAGTTCCTGATAGTTTACCTGGGTCCCTTTTATTCGCTCTTATTTCTCCCGAATATGTCAATCAACTTTTCGATTTGTTCCCTGATGATTCTGTAGACTTCTTCTTTCATGACACATCTACCATAAGAAATTCTCCTATCTTAAGATATACTCCTCCTTCTCCTTTATACATACACATTTAAGAAACTATTCTTTGGGTGATAGGAAGAAATTTGTATGAAGAAAATATTTCGAGGGAATTAGATATATAAGAGGAGGAGGAGGAGTATATCTTAAGATAGGAGAATTTCTTACGGTAGATGTGTCATGAAAGAAGAAGTCTACAGAATTATCAGGGAACAAATCGAAGAGTTGATTGTGTTGATATGTGTGTATATGCAGTGTGATATACAGAATGTTCCTCAAATCAGTCGCCACGATTTTTTAGATACTTCCGATAGATTGACAACAAAATGTTTTTAACAAAAGTTTGTTGGTTTTCAATAAAGAATTATTTACGCAAAAAAAATTTCAAAATTGTTCATTTTTTAACAAAAAATCGAAGTCAAATTATGTTTTGTTAAATGCAACTATACATTTTTCTTTCCATATTCTTGTAGTACATAAAAAGACAAATTCATCGATATAGCATTATGTATCATTTTGATTATTCGATCTCAAAATAATTCAATTAAAGAATCAAATAGTATCCCATACAGCACAGAACATTGCAATTACATTGCAGCAATGTTACAATCTTGCAAGTTGCAATGTAATATTGTTGAGACATTATTGGAACATGTAATTGTAATATTTTATGAGAATGTGACAGCAACATTCCAAAAACATTACAAAAGCAATATTCAGTAATTGCTAATTCGTTTACCGCTATGCGACGCGCGTTGCGCAATCTATCTCGCATTTAAGTTTTAGTCATGATGATTATATAAAACTTGCAAAGAGTGGCTAGTAAGATTAAACACATAGTAATTATTTTTATCAGTTTAATTTTTTTGATACGATCTCAACACAGGGAATTCAGATATTGAACTGATTGTTGAGAAATCGAACAGATAAATGTCTGAATGAATAAAAATTGTCCTTTTATTGTATTACTTAGGATGTAGAGTCGAATTTCCATATAAATAAAATTTTATAATATAAATTATTTAAATTTAATTATCTGATTATTTAATTTTTATTATTTAATTACATTAGACTAACAATAAGTGTTTTTGCTATACATACATATATATACCGGTGACGCGCATATCCAAGTTTTGGATGTAAAAAGATTGTGAACTTACACAATTGCAACGAGTTTTTTCTTATCTTTTTTGAAAGTCTTTATATATTTTAAAGTTTATCTATTAAAATCTGAAGCATTCTGCATATTTGTAGTAAGGCGTTTCAATATTACAAATAAATTGCACTGTAACATTACTGTAGTCTTACATTGTAATATTTCCAAGGGCGGACATTTTTAAACGTTGCCGCAAGCTTGAAGTTACATTGCAGAAACATTTTGCAACTTCCATGCAATATTACAATTG